GTAAGATTTAATGAAAACCATTATACAAACGATGAAGTTAATGACGATGATTTGGTTATTATAGTGATAAAGATGATGATTTTGTGGCCTCTGTGGCTGCGACTTTGGCTGCTGCTGCTGATTATGATGATGATGATGAGAAGGAGGAGGAGGGGAGGAGAAGGATGGAGATCATCATCGTCATCATCACCGTTAAAAATTCCTTCACGTCTTCTTATTTGGCTTTTTCTCAATATAAAAACCACCATCTACTAATGGTGCTTTTTAAATTGACTACTACTACTAGTAGTAGTAGTAGTAGTAGTAGCGGTAGCAGCAGCAGCAGTAGTTGTGGTAAAAGTAGTTGTGGTTAAGGCAGTCGTAACAGAAGTATGTGTTGTAAGTGTTGTGAGTCATTTTTATAGGATGATTTTTATATAGGTTATCATCACCGAGATTTTTCACTGATCTGAATGAGTTCTTCAATAGATTGAAATCTTTTATTTTTTAAATTAGATTTCTTTGAATTCGAATTTAAATTAGATTAAATTAGAGTTCTTTAAATTATCTTAATTTTTGCCTTTGTTTAATTGTTGCACTAGTTTTGGGGGTTGCTTCCGAGACGGTTGAACGTTCTAACTGAACTTTAGAATATCAGAAGTATTGTATAGATTTCATTTCGTTTGTCGAATTGTTCGTTTGATTGTTTGTTCAAACAAACAAACCGACCAACAAACATACAAACAAATGAGACGAACAAGCAAATAAGACAAACAAGCAAACAAATAGGATAACCAAGCAAACACATCAACCAACAAACAAACAAACAAGACAAATAAGACAAACAAACAAACAATCCATCATAGTCAGAGAATTCAAATGGTTTTTCTTTGATCAGCTTGACGTCACTAACATGCAAACGCATACATACACACACACACAAAAAATACATACATGGATAAACACACACACACACATACACACACATTCGTACATAAATACATACATACTAGCATACGTACATACAAACAAACAAACACACACACACACATGCATTCATATATACTCATACACAGAAAACAAACACACACGCACACAAAAACACAAACACATACAAACACACATATAAACACACATACAATTTATTTATTCCCATAATTTCCCTGCTGCCACGCAATTATTTTCCAAAATTCCGCAGGTTAATAGCTCCATCCTAAACAGAAAACAATTTGAAAGAAAAGATACTAACTTTTACGACATCAACAACAACGACGTCACCGTCAGCAAAAACAACAACAACCTCAACAACAACAACCTCAACAACAACAGCAACAACACCAACACCACCACCAAAAACAACAAAAACAACAACAACAAAGAAGACGTCATCAACAACAACAATAACAACATCAGCAACAACAACAACATCAGCAACAACATCAGCACAAATTTTACGTTACGATCATGTCAGTGACAACAACCAATGAAAGCATGACAGTAACATGGATAGATCATAACAACAACAACCATAACAACCACAAAAACAACAACAACAACATCAACAACCACAGCAACAACGACAATAATAATAACAATAACAATCGTCGTCGTCACCACTATCATCATTACACGATATGGTGGGTCAAATACGTTTTGTCATTATTTTTGTTTATTTATTCACTCACTCATCTACTTATTCATTCATTCTTTCAATCATTCTTTCACTCAATCATTCGATCTTTCGTTCGTTCGTTCATTCATTCATTCATTCGTTCGTTCGTTCGTTCGTTCGTTCGTTCATTCATTATTGCTTTCTTTTTTCTTTCTTTTATTCATTCTTCCGTTTGATTGACCAATAAAGGTATAAAGATGCAAAAGAAAAACAATGGCAAACCGTTTATGTACCATCATCATCATCATCACTGTCATCATCATCATCATCACCACCATCATCATCATCATCACCACCACCGTCATCATCATCATCATCAACAACATCATTACCGTCATCATCCTCATCATCACATGTTCTTATGATTACCTCACTTTTACCGAAACGAGCGTACGACATAATCGTAATGGCTAGATGTGACGACGATGATGATGATGATGATGATGACGATGATGATGATGATGGCGATGATGATGATGATGATGACGACGATGGTGATGATGATGACGACGATGGTGATGGTGACGATGATGATGGCATATCCGAAGAATATGAGTACATTTATGAAACAAACAAAGATGATGATAATAATAATAATAATAATAATAATAATAATAATGATAATAATAATAAAGATGATAATAATAATGATAATAATAATAATAATAATGATAATAATAATAATGATAATGATAATGATAATAATAATAATAATAATAATAATAATAATAATAAGAGTAACGATAATAAAAGTAATAATAATAATAATAATAATAGTAATAATAATAATAATAACGACGATGATGATGATGATGGTAGTAACAGTTTGGTAGTGTTTAGCAACCACGTCAGGATTAAAACGTTGGGTTAGAAATTTTTTAAATTTTTGAATATTATTATTATTATTATTATTATATTCATACATCATTTAAACCATCTGATGACAATATGCATTCAAAAATTTCTGTTTTTATGTAGCAATGACTTAGTAGGTCAAATGAAGGTCAAGTTAGGCAAAAGGTCAAGATCGGATCAAACGCGCAAAAATAGGTCATGATTGTGACGTCATTCGATGACTGACAAATAGCGTGCAAGATGTTTAAAACTTGAATCGATCATTTGGCTATGATGCTTGGGAGGAAGGATATTTTGTTTTGTTTTGTTTGTTTGCTTGTTTGTTTGTATATGTATGTATGTATGTACATATGAATGTATCTCTGTATGTATGTATGTATATATGTTTGTATGTATGTATGTATTTATGTGTGTGTGTGTGTAAGTGTGTTCATTTTCTAACACCGACTAGCTCAAGAGGCTATTTAAGTACTTAATTACTAATAAAACTATAAGCCGATTTTCTTTTATTCACAATAAAATTCCTATTAAACGTTAGTTAGATGGGTCGCGATAGACACCACACGCGATAGACACCACACACACACACACACACACACACACAAACACAAACACACACACAAACACAGATACACACATACACACAAACACACTACACACACGGATTTATTTACAGAGATAGATAGATAGAGAAAAAGAGAGAAAGAAAAAGAGAGAGAGAGAGAGTAGTACAAAAACTGATCAAAATAAAAATGAAATCTGGAGCAGCCAAAAAACGTAAAATTAATTAAAAATGAAAAGTTACAGGATAAAAAATTTCGCCAAAGAGGTCGCATCCGGAGTGAACAAAATTTTTAATCTGCACTGCTGGAAGGAAATTGTCTTGAAAATTTTAATTTGGAAGCACTGCAATAGGCCAATTTAAATTGAATGACGTCACGCTGGTAGCAGTCCGGCCGCTCAAATAATGAGATAAAAACACACCTAACTAACTCTAATTCTCAACAAGCAAACACGCACGCACGCACGCACTCACGCACACACACACGCATACACGCACACACACACACACGCACGCACGCACGCACGCATATTTAAAATTAAAATTTTTTCAAATTTAATAACTATTTCCAAATATAGAATAAAAATATAATTCTCCAAACATCTATGCGTGTTTATATGTTTTTATGTATGTTTGTTTGTTTGTTTGTTTGTTTGTTTGCTTAAACATATATACAATACACAAAAACTTTGGTGGTCAGAAATGAGAAAATAAATTTTAAAATGTTTTTTTTTTCTTTAAAGTTGATGGAACTTTTCATCTCTCTTGAATTATTGATTGAATTGCTTGTGTGTGTGATGTGTATGTGTGTGTGTTGTGTGTGTGTGTGTGTGTGTGTGTGTGTTTAGCTTTTTGTCATTCATTTGAATTACTGTACCCCTCTAGGCATATTACAAATTGTTTCTTCTGAGAGGAATATGAATTGATAAAAAAAAACACTATTATAAAATTCATCAATTTTTTACACAACACGCACACACACATTTACACACACAGCACACACACACACACACAGCACACGCACACACATCCATTCATATAGAATCAAACGTGTTTATTAATATATTCATACGCACGCATAATTTTTTAGTTTATTCAATTATTTTATTAAATAAACAAATTTAATAATTTGTACCCAAAGGAAACTCAAATACTGCTCCGAAATCCAAAAACTATTACTATTACCATCCCATAATTAGAAAATCTCACGTCAACAACTTAGTCTGTCAAATCCACCGGGGCAACAAATATAAACTCGTCTGCAAAAAGCCCGCAAAATTTAAAATCCCCAAAGTGCCAAGCCCTCCAAAAAATTTAACGGCAGTGCAATTAGGGTATGAAATAAAAATTTTATGGTTAGCCCCCGTCATGGCGGCCAATTTAAACCGTCCTATCACGCACTTCCAAATTCAATACCGTCCTCCTATTGGTCCGTGGCTGCCGTTGGTCGCCAATGTTTCTAAAAATAGCTCGCAGTTTATAATTAGTAACGTGACGTCATTCAATGAATCCTACTTCAGATTTCGAATGTTCAGCTATGCGCTGTTTGGAGATGATGATGACGATGATGTGGATGATGATGACGACGATGAAGATGAATATGTTGATAATGACTACAACAACAACAACAACAACAATAGTAATAATAATAATAATGATAATGATGATAATGATGATGACGACGATGATAATGATGATGACGAGATTAATAATGTTGTGGAGATCAATCGGACAAAGTATTTAGTCAGTGAACAAAGTAACGTCTTCACACTATCAATGGAAAAAAGTGAGATGAATGAATTACTGATTGCATGAATGCATGGATGAATGAATGCACGAATGAATGAATGAATTTATGAATGCACGAATGAATGAATGAATTTATGAATGCACGAATGCATGAATGAGTGAATGGGCGGATGGATTGGTAAATTATCAGCTTATTAGATGGCAGACGAATAACGATTGTATAAAAAAATTGAACACGGGACAACTCTGAGACTTTTTTTAATTACTTTTGTCAAGTTTGCTTTAAAGTTATTAGTTGTTTCTGCGCATATCATTTTATTTCCCACTCGTTGACAACTCTGCAGCTGGAAAATATATGTTTCATCGATCCCAAGCTTTTTTTATAGATTTTATATTTATGCCCCTTGTTTTACTGTTCATCTTAAGCTCAAAAAATTTCGCTGATTCAAAATTCTTCTTCATAGTGATGATTTTGTATGCCTGAATAAAATCTCTCTTGTTCTTCTTCTGTTTCTAATGTTGTCAACCCACAAACTTTTAATCTGTCTTCATATGGCATACCGCGACACTCCTTCATCATTCTCGTTGCCCTCCTTTGAATATTCTCGAGCATATGTTCGTTCTTTTGTAAATCTGGATTCCAAAGCCGATCGCAGTACTCCAACTTAGGTCGAGCCAATGCTTTATATAAGTTCAATATGACGATTATATCTCTGCTTTCTACTGTTCTTTTAATCATACCAAGAGTCTTGTTTGCACTTTTAGCTGCCTCTAAATTTTTCAGTGACGTGTCTCCAAGTTTGAATACGTCTGCCTCGTTGTTCGCTGCCATGTGTATGACTGCTCATTCGTTAGTGTTGAATACCATCTGCCAATCCTCTGCCCACTTGCATATTTTTTGCAAATCTCATGCTAGAATTTCAGTATCTTCATCGTTGTCTACAACAGCACATAATTTAGTGTCATCCGCTAATTTTGAAATTTTACACTTCATTCCTAGATCAATATCATTCATGTGTATTACAAATATCAAGGGTCCTAATACGGATCCTTGAGGAAGCCCACTTGTAACATTGCACCAGTTTAAGAAACTTCTTCCAACACCAACTTTTTGCCCTCCATCTTGTCACCAGTTAGAAATCCACTTGAGTGCCTTCCCTGTCATTCCACTTGCTTCCAATTTCAAGGCCAAACGTATATGCCATACCTTACTACTACTGCTATTATCAAAACGTTCTCTTTAGTTTACTTGTAGTATTTTTGCTTAATTCTTGAAAAGCTTCATAACGCAAAAAATTATTTCTAATGAAAAAGTGTAAATATATTATATTATGATTATTATTATATAAATATATTATTGTTAATTATAATAGTCGATATATCAATGAAAATTTTAATAATCGTAATAATAATAATTTTTCTTCTTCTTCTTCTTCATCATCATTAGATACATCAGTGGCCTTATTTGAGGACATAGTCACGACCAACGACAACAACAACAACAACAACAACAAAAACAACAACAACTTCATCATTATCATCATCGCCGTCATCATCGTCATCGTTATCATAACCTGCCTACTGTGCCTATGCTGGAAGATGATGATGAGGAGGAAGAGGAGAAGGAAGAGGAAGAAGATGATGATAATGATTAAAAGACGAGAAGACGGAAAAGGTGATGATGATGACGATGCCACTAACGAAATTGATTATGATGATGACGACGATGACGATGATGATAATAGTGATGATGACGATGGTGATGGTAATGATAATGGTGATGACGATAATAAAGATAAAGATGATGGCAGAGTTGATGACGATGACGAAAGTAATTAAAATTATGATGATTATCACTTTTTTTTCACTCATTTTCAGTTTGCTACAAACACACTCCGCCTCCGCCTTTCCTCGTCAAGAATAATGACGCTACCACAGCCGCTACAACCGCTACCACAACAGCCGCCACCAACAGCGGCAGCAGTAGCAGCAACAACCGCAAAAACAACAATCGTAAAACAAATGATTACAACAACAAAAACTACTTTGACGATGACGACGATGAGGATGTCTGTCATGTTTATACCACTACTACTTCTGCTACTACTACCACTACTACTACGACCACTACTACTACTAATAATAATAATAATAACTTATTAGTTGATTATATTTGTCTTAATAGTCAGAAAGTTCTGACGCATGTGCCCAAAGAGACGTGTATATAGCAGTATGATTTATTTTACAATTATTTATGATTTTTATTATTATTTTATTGTATTATTATTATTGTTATTATTATTAATTATCACTTTCGTTATTATTTATTACTGTTGTTACTTATTCATTCGTCTATTTATACTCTTTTTTGACGTCACGTTTTGAAGAAAAAATTGTAAACAGACAAAAAAAAAACTTAAATAGACAAGGTAATATTTTCATTTTTAATTATTTTTTAAATCCAAGAAAGATAATAGTTTGATAAGATTTTAAATAACCAAAGTTTAAATAGTGATAATAATATAGACAAACCAATGATATGAAGGTGAAAAAATTTTTGGCTTTAACATGCTAAACAATATAATTTAAACTTTCTACAAACAAACAAACAAACAAACAAACAAACAAACAAACAAACAAACAAACAAACAAACAAACAAACAAACAAACAAACAAACAAACA